GGGGGGGGACACCCAGACCCCGCCCCGCCACATTACAAATGCTTCTGATGCCGATGTGTTGTTGTACGCTTGTGTGACTACTTTTGAGACCGACTTATCCTTGTGGTTATCTGTTGTCATGAAGAGCAAACATTAACAAAGTCATCAAAGGTCATGCTCAAAACTCCAGGTCAAAATCCAACAAAGTTCAGTCCGGTCATCTGGACTTTTTTTTGTTGAGACGTTTCATCCTTCATCCAAAGGACTTCATTACAAAAACCCGACCAGATGACTGAACTTTGTTGGATTAACACATTCAGTTGAAGCGTCCGGTTTAATCCCAGAATGAGCCGACGCATCGTGAGGAGCACGAAGTGCAGCAGTGTGCTCATTTCAGAGAGAGAACCTGGGCTCAGAAGTTCTGGGTGTACGAGCATCAAGCTGACGCACCATTACACTAAAGACGTCTCATTTACTCCCGGAGCGTTGAACGTCGCAGAACAGGAAGTTCAACTGTCGGCAGATTTCATGGACGTTCGAGGCAACAGAGCGAAAAGTTTCCACACCTGTTTGGAGTTGGTGAGGTAGAGTTTGGCTGCCAGGTTGACCGTCTGAAGCTTGACGATGTCCTCTTCTGCAGTGAAAGTCTTGGCCATCTTTCGGAGTAAATCGGGAGCGATCTTGGGCACCCTCTCACAGTACTCCCCCATCAGCCACAGGATGCTGGCTCGAGCCATGGGAACCTGCGAGTGACGACACAAAGACTCGCTCACACTGAACCACGAACACGTACAGCAAGGACTCTGACACGTACGGTGATGTTGTCGAAGAGCTTGGCCATGTGTCTGATGATGTCACTGTGCTGAGTGGGCTGCGTCTGCAGCAGCTTCTTGATGACCACCACGCTTTCAGCCACAACGGTCTCTGCAGACACAAAAGCAGCCGTCAGAAAAGCCACAGCAACAACGCAGCAGTGCAGAAGAGCAGCTGGAAGTGCAGTCACCATCTCTGTTGGACAGCAGCAGGACCAGGCCGTTCAGACAGGTGTCTGTGACCTCGGAGATGTTGGTGGCACACCTGCCGATGGCCTGAATGGTAGCAGCAGCAAACGCCTTGTCCTGGCTCTTCACGTAGGTCTGCAGTAAGATCAGACGCACGACAAGCTTGGTGAGGAAGAGACCACACTGACCACAAAACACAAGCATGAATCAGAACGAAGCAACATGTGAAACCTGAAACTCCCTCAGGATGGTGGAGATGTTGGCTTCAGTGGCCAGACTGGTCAGGATCTCCAACTGCAAAAACAAGAAGACAATTATTATTCAAAATGTTTATTCTAGTGTGGGCTAAAGTACCAGAAAACAGGTACACAAGCAGCCCAGCAGTCCCTCCATACTTTATACTTTACAGTTCGTTTATCACGGACTCACTCTATCGCAGTTCAAAATAAGAGTGGACATGACACACAATTGGCTGTTTATTTAAACTGGGTTTATTTTCAGAAACAGATCCTGCCTAATTCTGAACCCTGAGGAACACCTTGTATCTGTGACTTTCCTTCCCTCCATTGATCACGGTGACATTATTTACATGAACGCTCCTACAAGAACCCTGCAGATGTTGGATGCTGCAGATGTTGGATGCTGTCTATCATG